CCTGCTGCGGACCCTGCTCCTAGTACACCGATTGCACTTCGGAAAGGTATACGGACCACACTTAACCCTAATCCTCATTATGTCGGTTTGAGTTATCATCGTCTGTCAACTCCCCATTATGCTTTTATATCTTCTTTGTCCTCAGTTTCTATCCCTAAGTCTACAGGTGAAGCGTTGTCTCATCTAGGATGGCGACAGGCTATGAGTGACGAGATGTCTGCTTTACATACAAGTGGTACTTGGGAGCTTGTTCCTTTCCCCTCAGGTAAATCTACTGTTGGTTGTCGTTGGGTTTATACAGTCAAAGTTGGTCCCGATGGACAGATTGATCGACTTAAGGCCCGTCTTGTTGCCAAAGGATATACTCAGATATTTGGGCTCGATTACAGTGATACCTTCGATATATAAAATCAGCTCCAGGCAAAGGGTTACTCTTTGAGGATCGAGGTCATGAGCAGATCATTGGATACTCAAATGTTGATTGGGCAGGATCACCTTCTGATAGACGTTCTATGTCTGGATATTGTATTTTAGTAGGAGGAAATTTGGTGTCCTAGAAGAGGAAGAAACAGAATGTAGTTGCTCGGTCTAGTGCAGAAGCAGAATATCGAGCAATGGCTATGGCAACATGTGAGCTAGTCTGGACCAAACAATTGCTCAAGGAGTTGAAATTTGGTGAAATCAGTCGGATGGAACTTGTGTGCGATAATCAAGTTGCCCTTCATATTGCATCAAATCCGGTGTTCCATGAGAGAACTAAACACATTGAGATTGATTGTCACTTCGTCAGAAAAAAGATACTTTCAGGAGAGATTGCTACAAAGTTTGTGAGGTCGAATGATCAACTTGCAGATATTTTCACCAAGTCTCTCGCTGGTCCTCGTATTGGTTATATATGTAACAAGCTCGGTACATATGATTTGTATGCACCGGCTTGAGGGGGAGTGTTAGTTTACAGCATGTATATAGTGTAGTATTGTCCCACATTGGTAGAAGAGTAGTATGTCCTTGTATAGTATAGCTATAAATAAGGACCTCTTGTATTGTATTGTTCATCCAATATCAATAACATATTTTCTCTCGTGCCTTCTCACAAAAACCTCCAATAGCTCAACATTATTTGCTGATAAACTAACTTAAAAATTGAGATTTATAAATCTTCTGCTATGTGATCTCTGAAAATGTTTTCTTGAATCAAAAATTATATAATATTTTGACATCTGGTCTACAGTGTTATCAAAGGCGAAAAGCGCAAAAAACTGTAAGATCTGTTGAGGCTTTAAGCACAAAGGGCAAATAAATGGTGGGCTTTAATGAAGAAAGGCGCAAATGGAGAAAAACTACAAATACGCATGTGTAGTCCAAGACTAATATCTATAAGCATGAATACCAAATATATGGACAAAGAAATTGAAAAAAAAATTACGATAAAGTGAAATATCAATTATTTAGTGTCGCATCTTCAGGGTTACGCTAGGAAAAGTATGCCTTAGAGCCTTGATGACAACACCGAAGCGCCTACTAAGCGAGGCAAAGCGCTCAGCATGTTTTGAGCCACGCTTCAGGGCTTAAGCGAGCGCACCTTTGATAACATTGGGTCTATCTAAAATAACTCTGGCATTTAAGCAAATGAAAATATTCTTAATATTTAGCTATAAGGTGGGTTGCGACAAGAAAAATTGTCCCTAATCAAAAAGAAAAGTTGGAAGTCGTACCATAAGAATCGCCCACTCCAAAGTCATGCCTGATTACCCAGCCTTTGCTAGTTCCCAGAACGATGACATCATTGCCAGTCGCCATGCATGTAATGGCTCCACGGCCTTTTGTGGCATATCTTTCAAGAAGATCTACAGAGAAAACCTGATGTCTTCTTTCCATTCTAGTAAGGAAATGACAGAAGCAAACCAAATAAAAGTTGGGTCAGACCACAGTATTCGGATCTTTAGTTATGAAAACTAAGCGCAACACTAAACTTTAGCTATTGAAAAAAAGGAATATCAAGATGATAAATCAACAACTTCATGGAACATGTAGAAGAACTTAAACTAAGGGGAGGGAAATATAGGTGCATGAGTATTCCAATCATACTTTAGTAGTCTTCATAGACTGGCTTTATGTCAAAGGGTGCAGGTTATGCTTAAAACAAGCTATATCAAAATTCCTTTTACAATTCTCGCCACAAGATATCCTTCATAAAAATTAACTAGTTTCCTTGAAATCAAATAATAAGATATTATCATTCAGAAGACCACTGATACCAAAGAGAAAACAAAGTTATACTGCCCCGTCACAAAAATAATGGCAGAGTACGGAGCATGAGGCAAATATAGCTAATTCTCTATATAAATTGGGACATTGATTGACTAGCAATTTTTCTTGGGGGGGAGGGGGGGTTATAAATAAAGAAGTAATACGAATCACAACTTTTACAATTACAACTATTATAAAAAATGATATTGAAATTATCAATACAATCAAATGATTCTATCCAAGGGATCTTTCCCCCTTTCAGAATTGCATAGAATTTTTTTTTATTCGTCATTGATGAATTGAAAAAAATATTTGACTCCTGAAAAAGTAATCGTGCCAAACAAAGTAGGAGAGAATCATCAACAATAAGCATGTTTAGCTTTGGAATCACTCACATTTAACCGTTGCAAAATGGAAGTCCAAAAATTGTTTCAACTGGTCAAATCACCTTGAGATTCCAGTTCCACGATCATTCCATAAATTACTTTGGTCAACAAGTTGTGCTATAACTCCATAAAGACTGTGAAAGGCCTAAAATCAATTTATCGCCTTTGTACAAAACATTGCGACCTACATCACATTCCGAATTCTACTATAACAATTGTTTAAAAAAAGGGTAAATACTTTCTGCCTGAGCGGGATCAGTAAGAAAAGTGTTTTTTTTTTTACCTCAAGAATTTAATTCAGGAGACAAGTAGAGAAACTTACAACTCGACTTCGCCGGAAAAGATATCAGCAGATGAATTCACGGCAGAAAATATTGAGACGTGCGGAGACAGACCGACGGATTTTGAAGCTGGCCGGAAAATAGATGCCGGAGTAACTTAGATGTGAGTGTTAATAATCTGCAGTGTTTTCCTTCCAACTTGAAGGGAGTGTTGCCGGAAAATGTTGGGTAATCAAGCCACCGATGGAAATGGTTCGAAACAAACGAGTTCTACTTTGCTTTACTGGAAGAATTAATTAATACATGTAGGCTGCTTGGTAATTCAGCTAATACGTGTTATTTATGTTTTAGTAACTTTAATTGTGATTTTTTTGGTTAAAGAATTTGTTAAATAACTTATTTTTGATAGAATTAATTAATTAAAAATCTTAATATCTATATCTATCTATATATTATTAAAAGGTGAGAAAAAAATACTCTCCTTAAGCCAAGTGGCAGCCTAGAAAAAAATCATATGGCATAAGTAGTAAATAATTAGTTATTAATTATTATTTTTTAATTTAAATATCTATAAAATAATAAAATAATATATTTTATAATAAAAACAAAAATTAAAAAAAAAATGTTCATTCAAATTGGAGTGTAGTTTCAAGTTGGAATTTTTAAATTCTATTTCTATATATTATTAAAAGTGTATAAGTAGTTAATAATTAGTTATTAGTTATTATTTTTTAATTTAAATTTATATATTATTAAAAGGAGAGAAAAAGTACTTTCCTTAAGCTAAGTGTCAGCCTAGAAAAAAATCACATGGTATAAATAGTTAATAATTAGTTATTAGTTATTAGTTATTATTTTTAATTTAAATCTATATATTATTAAAAGGAGAGGAAAAACCCTTTCCTTAAGCTAAGTGACAGTCTATAAAAAAGTCACATGGCATAAGTAGTTAATAATTAGTTATTGGTTATTATTTTTTAATTTAAATATCTATAAAATAATAAAATAAAATATTTTATAATAAAAAACTAAAATAAAAAAAAACTGTCCATTCAAATTGCAGAGTAGTTTCAAGTTGGAGTTTTTAAATTCTATATATTATTAAAAGGAAAGAAAAAAGCCATCTCCTTAAGCCAAGTGACAGCATAGAAAAAAGTCACATGGCATAAGTAATTAATAATTAGTTATTGGTTATTATTTTTTAATTTAAATATCTATAAAATAATAAAATAAAATATTTTATAATAAAAACGAAAAAAAAAATGTCCATTCAAATTGGAGAGTAATTTCAAGTTGGAGTTTTAAAATTATTTTAAAATAAAAAATCAAAATTAAAAAAATTGCCAATTTAAAATTTCTTTGTTTTTTTAATAATTTTTGCTTTTCTTTTTAAAAATAAAAAGCTTAGTTATTCAAAAAATATTATTGAGAATAATAGAATAAAATATAAAATATAATGAAGGCCACATGAAAAAATAAAATACTATATATTAGGTAATGTAATAGCAATAATTAAAAATTTAAAAACATTTAAAATTATAAATAGAAGGGAAAGATGATTTGAACTTGAGATTAGATTAAAATTATGGTAAAAATGCTCAAACTATGGATAGGACCGCAAAATTAAAGTTTTACTAGATAAGGAAAAATAATAATAGGATAACAAATTAAAATATTAAGAATACAAAATAAATGTCTCATGTAGATAATTTAGTAACGAAAATAAAAGTTAAACAGAGAAGTAGAGAGAGAATCTCTCCTTTCTCTCTAGTTTCCTTCTAAATTTTAAAAACACTAAAACTATCCTTCAATTCAATCACCTCTAACCTGGATATTGAACAAATCCCTCCAAAGCTGCCGGATAATTCATTAACTACTCAAACAATGGATGGTATTAATAGTCCAGCTACCCCAAACGACAAAATTTCCCAAACGTTCAAAGAAAAACTTTTGGGAAAAGATGACACAATTAATATCTCCACGGACCATTCATCTACCCTCCTGCTCCCAATGGACATTCAAGAAAGGGAGCTAGACTCTCATCTGAATGAAAATCTCTCTCTCTCCGTCCCCATAACCTTGGAAGATAAACAAAGAATTTATCATCCATGGAAATATTCCCTAATAATAAAACTACAAGGCAGAAGAATCCTCCATCAAATATTGAAACAAAAAATCCAAGACTTATAGAAAATCAGTGAAAAATTTCCCCTCATCGACTTGGGCAATGACTACTTCATTGTCAAATTACAAAAGGAAGAGAATATGAACCTAATCCTACAAAAAGGTCCATGGTTCATCTATGGAAACTTTCTATCGATACAGAGGTGGCAACCTAATTTTGTTGCAACAGAAGCAAGACAAACCTACTCAGCGGTATGGGTTAGACTCCCTCAAGTGCCAACTGAATTCTATGATGGTAAAATGCTCCAGAAAATAGGAGGAGCAATAGAAAGGCTATTGAAGGTAGATGCTTGCACATCCTCTTCCCTGAGAGGGAGATATGCTATACTATGTATCGAATTACCTATAGAAGAACCGGTGAGAAAATGTATCTACATTGGTACACATAAATAACATATTCAATATGAAGCAGACAAATTCCTTTGCAAAACACGTGGCAAGCTAGGCCATAAAACCACCTCTTGCACATTTATAAGATCATCAACAAATGACATGATCTCCACCGCAATGAACCATACATCAACATATAATCCTAACCCAATAATAGCACAAGAGGAAGGGTGGCACATAATTCCATTTACAAGGAGCAGGAAGTTCCCGAACACAAAATCAAATGAAGCAACCGGAAAGTTTCAAGACTCAGGTATTAATGTTAAGTTGTTCAATGCATAGACAGGTAAGTACATCGTAACCCAAAAATTAAAATATATTCCTAAAATTACTAATAGTTCTTTTAATAACAACCAAACCTCTGATCAATACCACAAACACTCCACAAATCAATCTGATAATAATCTCCTAAATACAAAAAATCGTTTCTCAGCTATCAACCTAGACTATCAGCAAATGGTTTTAGATAATACCACTATTGAAAGTAATCAAAAAACCACTAATTCTAGGTGCATGAACCGGGCACATAAGACAAAAGAGATCCAAAATAATCTTGCCTCACTAAAAGACAAAATAGCAAATACCCTAGTAACACCCCTTAATAAAATCTCTACCCCAATGAGAGGATATCTCTTTACAATCTACTAATAACCATGATGCCCTAAACACCTTGATTAATACAAATTACCAATCAAACTACAATTCTAATTTGCATGCGGACCTACACTCGTCCAACCAAAGCCATCCCTCAAGACAAATATCTTAAAACTCGGTACACGTGCCTAAGAATATGCATGCAAACCCCTCTATTAATCCTAACATGCTAAACCCCTCAAATGCCATGCAAATAGAGGTAATCATTCCCCCTACCTCTCCATCAAACCCCTTAAATCATCAACTCCAATTTCAAAACAATGCCAAGAATCCCTTTAAGTCATCAAAGGAGGAGATCCAGATTAATTCAAATACTAAGGAACCAATGTACACAAGCAATGAAAAATCTTCCTCCCTTTCCTCCCCAGTTCCTAAACCTTCTCATAATTTATGCTTAAC